TGGACTTCAACTCCCAGAATTCCACAGCCAGCAACGCTGGCTGTGGAATTCTGGGAGTTGAAGTCCTCATGCCTTAAAATTGTCAAGTTTGGGAAACACTGGTCTAGAGATTATGCTCATAGGGTGCACAGAGGGATTCCCCCCTCCCCCCAGCAGCCCATTTCCTCACTACTCCTTTTTTTTGTATTACTACTCCTTTTTTTTGTATTAGCTTTTCCTACTTAACCATTTTTTTTGTTTGTTTGTTTGGGAGAGCTTTCTGCTAATGTATGGACAGACAGATGGATAGGCACAGGGCTGAGTCCCTTTACATTATTTCTTTCCAAGATTCCATTGTGCTGGAAATAATAAAAAAAAAGAAGACTATTAAACTGTTCAGAGTTTAACTGAGTGCAATTTGTTTGCAATTAAAGTTATGGATTGCTGAATAAAGCTCTTGGAAATATTTTTTCAAGGCATTGCTGCCGAACACCTTGTATCCTGCCTCTGCTAATCTAAGAGTGGAAAAGGTAAAAATATCTTTTTTGTAGCGTTATTCCTTCTGCAAAAATGGCAGGTTTTTAAGGGGATGTTTGTCAGTTTCCCAAGTCTTTAACAGATTTTCGCTGCATGTACAATAATGGGAAAAATACCTTTCCTCTCCTCACCCCTTTTATTTGCTTATTTAAACATTTTTGGAGGTTTATAGCTTAAGGCAGTGGTGGCGAACCTATGGCACGTGTGCCCTCTCTGTGGGCACGCACGCCGTCGCCCCAGTCCTAGGCCTTCAGCTGGGTTTTATAAAACCTTTTCACTTTAGGCCTCTGCCACCATGTGCAAAAAAAAGGTTCAATCAGTCAATTTCAACTTCTCGTGGGGAAAAAAAAGATCTTGCAAAGTTGGAATTGATTGATTGAACTTTTTAGTCCCACCCAGTCTGCCGTTACCACCGCAATCATGCCCACCCAATGGGCCATGCCCACCCAATGGGCCACACCCACCCAGCACTCAACGATGCATAAGTGGATTTTTGGTTGCAGTTTGGGCACTCAGTCTCTAAAAGGTTCGCCATCACTGGCTTAAGGCCTAGGAAGTATCGTTGTAGCATGAAATATGGAGATACTTCTTGCTGTTCTAGACTTACTGAAAAAATAGTTACGCCTCCATGAGTTAAGTGTTGTGGTTCCGGCTAATGAAACATTCCAAAGAACTTCCAGGCATTTATTTTCCTAAAAGTCTTTTATTGTTACAAAATGTCGGCACAGGCACAACGGAGGGATGCTAGGATCTAAGTTCTCTTCCTCTGAGCAGTTAAATTATCAGCATGTTCCCTCCCTACCCTCCCTAAATTAGCCGTCATATCTCACACTATCCAATTAGTGTGAAGGTCAAATGTTTTCTTCCTCTTTCTTTCCTGGGCTTTACCCCCAACGCCCCTTCTGCTCTTTATTAACCCCATATTTAATAGACAATTCTGCATATTGTCAAAAGCAAGAATATACAATATTTGCAGCGTTGACATTAAGTACTTATGATGGGGATAGGGCAGTGGTGGGATTCAAATATGTGAACAACCGGTTCTCTGTGTGGATGCCGCTTCCAGAAGTCCATTCTGGGCCTGGGCAACAAAAAAATTAGCTACCGGTTCTGTTGAAGTGGTGCAAACTGGCTGAATCCCACCACTAGGATAGGAGTGGAAATGACAGATATAACCATTACTAATTATGGTGTGGAAAAACAGGATGAAGTGAAATTCCTTCTTTCTCTTTCATAATACTATAAATTTTTAATAGTACATTTACTATTTGTTTATATTGTAGATGATCTTCTCTCAGTTTATCCTCATAACAATCCTATGACATTCATTAGTCTCAGAGATAACACTAGGATTAAATAATTGAGCAAACTTCATGGCTAATTAGAAATCTGAACCTGGATTTTCCCAATCTTATTTAGAACTAATAGTAGTAGTAGTAGTAGTAGTAGTAGTAGCAGCAGCAGCAGTAGTAGTAGTAATAATAATAATAATAATAATGTTGGAAGGGACCTTGGAGGTCATCTAGTCCAACCCCCTGCTCATTTTGGACAAACCACTCATCTTCATTTGTTATCCAGATTGTATGAAAATCTAGGTCATTTAATGACTAGTAATCTTTGATGGTTAGGATACTAAACAAAAGAAAGAAAAACTTTTTCACAACTTCACAGTTAACTATGGAATCTGCTTTCAAAAGATCTAGTAATGGAGATTACTTTAAACCTTTAAACAAAATCATGAAGGTCACTAATTAGGTTACTAATGGCTACATTTTTTTTTCCAATATATCTTCCTTGTTCCTTCCCCGTATCATGGTCAGCCCATCTCTTAATACCAGTTTTGGGAATATGAATATTGCATTCATGTTCTTCTTAGAGCAGTGGTTCTCAACCTTTCTAATGCCACGACCCCATAATACAGTTCCCCATGTTGTGGTGACCCCCAACCACTTATACATCAGGTGCCAGGAGTGTGGCCGAAGAAAAGGGGAAAAAAATGGCGGACAGCCTTATTTGGCGACCTCCGTGAAATGGTTGTTCAACCCCAAATGGGGTCCCGACCCACAGGTTGAGAACCACTGTCTTAGAGACTTCCGTAATTACTACTATAAAAAGAGAATGCTGGATTAGTAAGGTCCTTAGACTGATTCATTATGGTTTTCTTAGGTTATCATATTTGATAAAGCTAGATAAATATATCTAAATTTCATGAGGATTAATGTGGGACTTTCTATTGTTAGCAAGCATCATGGATACATCTATTGAGATTTCTAATTTCTGAACAGAGAATTTCAAAAGCAACTTTTTGTTTACAGTATAATAATAAACTGTACACATAAGCAACACATAATTCACAACATTGTTCCAGAACTTCTACTGTAAACAATTAACATCAATAGGGCCAAAATTAGAGGAAACTAGAGAAATAGAACTCATATCCCTTCAACGCCTCAGATTCAGCAGGGGAGTTTATAACATGATCAGATTAATAGCTGGCATAAATCAACTGCTCACAAAAATTAATGAGGTTTTTAACACAGCCAGCATTTCAAGACTACATTAGGCAATAAAAAGCACACGTGTGTTGTCACAATGCAAGAAAAATGAGGTGACCTGGGGGGAAAATGGAAGGGGGGGGGTGTCATGAATCAACCATGCTGTCAAAACAGCATTGGAAGAAGTACTACAAGTGGAAAATGCACACTTGGGATTCCTCTTTCTGCTGCTTTGTGGTGTATTAACTACAAACTATCCTTTTTCTTAGATTTGTCTTCATTTTAATATAATGAAATCTCATTTGATCGGATCTTAATGGAAAAGACTTTACATGAAGCAAAGCAAAGCAAATCTCCACTGTGATTTATACTACTTGGATAAAAAAGTAATTATCCGAATGATACAAATTTGTCATTTGTATTTTCATTGATATAATATCAACATTATGCAAATGTCAAAAATGAATGTAAATTTATTTATGTAAAAATTACATGATGTCATCAAATGATGTAAGTCCAATGATAACCTACTCTGGTTCCTCCTGCATTATACTCAGTCTATTAAAATGAGGTTTTGCTGAAATAAAATAAAACACACTTCAGGCATGAAACCATGTTGGCCTATTAAAATACAAATGCCAATTCAAATTCTCTAACAAATGTTCTAATTGTATCCTGGAGATCGGTGGTGATGGTGGTATGTGAAAATGGGACATACCTGGTCGCTGCTGCCTCTTTGCCCCCAGCCCCACCCACTGCCACTGCCGAATGGCCCGAATACCGCTGCTGCTGAATGGTCCATGATAGCAAAGGATATGAAAATGGGAAGCCCCCAGCCACTGCCACTGTTCTGCCCACCAGCTCACTCACCCCCGCAGCTCTCCCTCCAGCCACCTGCAGTGAGTTGTCCCTGCAGCAAATTGGCTGTGTTAAGTTATCCAGAGGCAATTTGGTGACGGTGAGTTGGCAGAGGTGACTTGGTGGTGGCGAGCTGGTGGCAGTGAGCTGGCCACACCGAGTAGTCCTAGACCCCTTTGACGGCTTGGTCTTTAATGTAATGTAATGCTATCTTTCAACGTTGGGTATCCTGTTAAATTATTGTAATTATATTTATGAATTGCAGCTGGGTTCACATACTGTACTGAGCCTTAATATGGTTTGTTTGATTTGGCATGTTTTGCAAACCTAGACAGAGTATTTCTAAATGATAGCTTATGGCACAGTATGCTATTTGTTGTTCTTCTTGTTATAATCATCAACAAATGTATTTGCCACCCACCTTGTAGTACAAGGTGACTCTTGTTCGATGGTTAATGGTACAGAGTATTGTTTGAACCCTGCCAATTAAGGTTTAGACCACAAAGACTGGATAAGCAACCAGTTGCTTACCAAAATATGTGAATTAAATTATTTCTTTATAGTATCAAGCTTTTAAAATTACCACTGGACATAGCAACCAGTGTTGCAAAAGTATTAGTTGTGAACAAAGTATTAATTTGTCTAGCTGTAGTATGTTTGGTAAAATATTCCTTTAGCTTCTCTTGAATCCATGGCCCTGAGCAGTTGTATTAGTATTATGGGAAATATTATAATAATGTTATGAGAAACACCCTTGATATACAGGTGCTACTATATCTCCAACCTATGCTCTCTTTCTCTCTTGCTTTTGCTAAAGTGAATTCTGATTCAGCTGTGAACTTGCTAAACATGGATTTCTGCATAGGTTACTTAATGCACAGCTTTGTATTATCTCTTTGTCCACAAAATCATCAGTGCTTTGTCCAACATTTGACTTTAAGACATAATCATGAATATTTTTTGTGTCAAATAGTCAAGCATCTGATTAAAAGGCTTGATAATAAAAGGATATTCAAAGGAAAGATCAAGCTTTCATTGGTTGCTTTATTCCTTCTCCTTCTCCAGGCCCTGATGTCTCATGAGTCTAAGGGAGCAATAATCAGAGAGAAATAAAAAAGAGTAAATTCTTACCACAAACTGGTTGATGTCTCTCTCAAGTCCCATGTTGGGGAGATCTGGCATCATATGTGCTACCACCTTGAACCCAGCATCTTTGGCTAAGTGGAACGATTCACACACAGCCTTTACTGTATGGCCCCTGGAGTAAGGAAATTGTTGAGAAACTTACATATACTGTACCTATTCAAAAATTATGTTCCCCATGATGAAAACCTCTTGAGTAAGCATTTTAGAGTATCTGTATCCCAAACCCTTTACCTTCTAAATATTATGAAAACTAATAAAATCTAAAAAAAAATATTTAAAAAATCAACATAACTACAAAATTAATAAGCATGGCAATAAAAAAGGACAGAGAAAGATCTGGAAACTATGTTCTAGACAAAATAACTCTAAACATGTGGACCATATTGGTTAAAGTCTTTATGTTCCATTATCAAAAAAGAAGTCATTCAAATGTTAATAATCATATAAAAATTAATTGCTACAATTCTGGTATAGTTTTTTTTTCCTTCTAGTGTCACACAATTTTTTAGACAAACCATGTACCCATAATTTTTGATTGCAACAGATTTCAAATACTGAAGCTACAATCAAGAAGAACATGTGTATTGTTAATATAAACAAGCCTGTCACTCTCAATAAAAGTTAAAGACAGAACCATGTTCAAATGAAACATTGTTGGAATGTATATTTAATAACATTCTTTCTACAAACCTTATTTTCTACCCATATTCTATTCCATGTTGCTATATCTGTTAATTTTTCTAACTTCAACTGAGTTAATGTAGGAAAAATCAGACAGGATATTATATTTATTTGAATACGGAAGGTCTACCTTCAATAGTGTATTATCCTCTATGTTCAAGTATTCATATATCTGTGAAAGACAACAGGATCTTTAAAAGCATACAGCTATGAGATAAGCATGAAAATATCTTCACCTTTGCAGCTGAAAGAACTCCTTGGGGGAAGGGTAATAAATGCATATGAGACTTGGGATTATTGGGGCAAGAATGCTAAATACTCATAAACAAATCCACAATATTAGGAGGCAAATTATTGGATAGGAAAATAAAGCATTCTGTTGGCAGAACTGATATGCAGTTCTGTTGATGAAGCATTGTGCTTAATCTAATTAATCATGATGATATGGAACTGCATATCAGTTCTGTCAACAGAATTTATTCTCCCTTTGGCCTACAGAATTATAGAATCTTGCATAGAATCTTCTAAAATGCATCTAGGTTGTTCATGATGGGGAAAACAAAAGGAGACTCCTACTGCATAGGCAGAAACTTATGAGCACTATGCTGGATGATTTATTGTAATCACGAATTTCAAGGGTTTTAAATGAAGGCTATGAATCTCTCATTCTGTTCCTTCCCAAATGTTTTATTAATTCCCTTTGCTTTATAGGATCTTCCTTTATATATTTTATATACATTGTTTACAATATTACCACACAATAAAATTTCAAAAATTATATTTCTATCTCTTATTTCTATCGTAAGCAAAGAACTATCTCATCCTGCTAAGACAAGATCCTGCTACTTGTGCCAGCAGAGAAGGCTTGTTGCAGATTCTGTCAGTCAAGAAACTCCGATTGGCAGGATCCAGAAGAGCCTTCTCTGCTGTATTGCCAGCCTTCTGGAACATCCTGCTCCTCCTTGTGGATTGAGGTTTGCTCTCACCCTCCTATCCTTCTACAAGGGCCTGAAGACCTGACTCTACTGGTTGACCTGGGGACCCACATTGGAGATGGCTACTGGACTAATTAGCTGACCCTCTACCTCCCCTCTGTACTTTCTGCTCCCCTCTGCCCGTCTTTTAATTCATATTATTGTACTTTCCTTATTTGTTTTTATTGTTCAATTGCTTTGCTATTGTTCTGTTTACATTTTTTAAATTATTTTTTCCTTTTTCCATTTTACTATTGTAAGTCACTTAGAATAGCCCCATGGTGAGATGGGCAGCAAATAAATTTAACAAATAAATGTATCTAAATGTATTTTAGATGCCTAGAGTGATGAGAAAAGAGTAGTGAGCCATTTAGACTGTTATTTACATTGTGAACTAAGCTTTATCTAAGCCAATGGTTCTCAACCTGTGGGTCGGGACCCCATTTGAGGTCGAACGACCATTTCATGGGGGTCGCCAAACAACACAGTCCGCCATTTTTTTCCCCCTTTTCCTTAGCTGCGCTACTCCCTTTTATTCTATTGGCTTTTGAAAGCCAATAGAATAGACTTTCTTGAATAGAGTCTAATTCTATTGGCTTTCAAAAGTCAATAGGAATTGTCCAGGCTGTCTCTGGCGTGCTGAGCCCGCCAAAAGTCCCATTCTGCAAACGGTGCTGCACCAGTTGAGTAGTCCTTGACTTACGACTGGTTGAATGGTCCTCGACTTACGACCGGTTGGGGGTCATGGCATTAAAAAGGTTGAGAACCACTGATCTAAGCCCTATTAATACATAAAGAGATTCTGATTAAACAATAAGTATCAATGTTTAACCAAATAATGTATGGTATCATAACTTTATTGAATGCACTAAGCAGAAATTCACTGTTTTTTTTATTTTCTTCAAGTATAACATTTCTCATTAATACCAAAAATACAATTTGAAGGGGGTTCATCTGTCTATAGAGCATTGTTCTAATAATAGTCTAATAAATAATCTAAGTAGTCTTAGAAATAATTGAGATGGGTCACAATGTTTCTTCTAGAGAGAAGTGATTTCTTTCTTCTTCTTTCATTAAGTCTACTCTTGTTCAGTGTGAAAACTCCACCAGGCAATGCAAGAATAGCCTGAAGATCCTTTGCTGTGATAATAGGTTTCTGTGATCTCCTGGAGAATAGTATGCCTTGCTTTGGAGATGATTTTTTTTATTGGACAACCACTCTTGGAAAGATTAACAAGGGAGTTGCCTTGAATTGATAGAAGTCAGTCTGTAGCAATGGTTGTGTAGCTCCTTCAGCCCTTTTGTGATATCTGTAGAAAACTGGTAAGTGAATGACCTGTATCATTAAGAGCAACTCCCACAGTGGAGTTGTTGTATGTGTATATGTGTGATCTCAGGGGTGGGCCCCCAAGCTTATGCCAGATTGTTATCTCATTGAGTAGAAGTCAACTTCATTCCCTAAAAACACCTGATAGTTCAAGGGCTTCATTATTCTATTTCCAACAAAGACAGTGGATGTTACTTCAATGTGTTTAATAGATATGATGAAGTGCACAATTTTGGTTGTTGTTGATTTAAGCAGAATCTTTTTCTTTTAAAAATAATATGATTATGCTCTGGTTACACAATAAGTCAAAGAACAGTAGGATTACAAACAGTTCTAAAGAGTTCACAAATGTTATCTTTTCTTCCTTGATCTGCATTTGATCCTTCCATTAGAATACTGTATGATGATTAAACAGCAGTTTTAACAAAGAGGAACAGAGTAAATTGCTTCATCAATTAAAAACAAATTATCGTTGGAAAAATCCAAGCTGTAGTCATGATCTCAAGTTTAGAGGAAAATTAACTGAGGCAATCTTGTCCAAGTACAAGTACACAAGGGCACCATCCAACCTGACTCCCAGGTATACAGAGAAACATGTTAAGATTTTCTCTTGAATACATTTTATGAGACAGAGAAAAAAAATAGAGCAATAGGTGAACATTGCAATACTAGACAGCTCCCAAAAGAAGTGGGGTCCTAACAATAAATAGAGTTTAATTCCCTAGCACGGATTATTTTATTGGTTGACTTAAGATATGTGTATATTTTCTACTGCAGTTGTGCTGATAGAAATTATAATCTTGTTCCTTTATTTTAGCAATATCTCACTAAATCTCTAAAGACTGAACCAAAACTTAATTGTAACAGACTTGATTCAGAAATGGGCATGCAATCATTCACTCCATTTTTATTAATACAATTATTCTAATTAATATACAGATCCTGCTCCCTCCACTGAATCCTTTACTGAACATTCCATTGGTTCTCATGTATTTTACTTAATTTTACTTAACTGCTCATTTTACTTAACTTCTCTTGTTGCATTTAGCAATCAATATTGGACTCAGTATTTGTGTTAATTAAATCAAGTCTATTCTCTTTATCATACTCTTTCACTAAATCAGCAAATGCGCAAAAAATCTTTCTCAAATTCATACCCTTGTTCGTTTCTACTTTAATATATATATATATATATGCCACCTTTATTATTTGTATAGAAAACTCAAGTCATACTTAATATTCTTTCCTCCTTCTATTTTCTCCACAACAATCAGCCTGTGAGGTGAGTTGGGCTGAGAGAAAGAGTGATTGGTCCAAAGTTACCCAGCCCACTTTCATGCCTAAGGTGGGACTAAGCAAAAATCTGAGCTGCACATTCCTTACCTGGCTTTTAGCTGTTTGCACTTTGCTAAATTGTCATTTCCTGTATTATTTCAATCAGTGTTCTGCCACACTTTTCCAGATATGCTTGACAATCTACCCCACCCCCACCCTGAAGATATTTTTGCATTCAATTGTTACTTTCTCTTTTTTTTACATAGGAATAATAATGACATCCTTACAATATTGAAATGTTACCATAGTTAGTCCATACCTATGTATGGACTAACTATGGTAACATTTCAATATTCTGACAGCATTAATGCTTCTCTTTCATTACTTTTTGGAGGCAAAACTAATGTTTTTTGGCATTTCAACTGCACTCTGATATATTGCTATCACTTCCATACAGTTCTATAAAATATATTCATTACAGCATTTTTTTTAGTTCACTTTTATCGGAAATAATTTATTTTATTTCATTTTATTTACTTCTATTCCTAATTCTATTAGATCTTCTGGAGGTTCCAAAGACCAAGGTAAGTCAAGTTAATTCAGGTCAGAAACGAATGCACTGCAGAAGCCTCTGAAACTGTATTTTATTGTTGTTGGATATAATAATAGAATTTTGAAAGCCTGATAGAGTCAGTCAGTCAGTCAGTCAGTCCGACTGTCCCAACAGTCAGTCATTTATATTTTGCATTTTTTAGCCACCCATCTTTGGGCAGTCTTGCTTTTACTCCTCTCTAAATTATACAAGATGGGAGTTATTTTGATTCTCTTTCTCATGCTCCCTCCTTCCCCAAGGCTAAGCAGACAATTAGTTTCTCCTGTATTATCCCTTAATGGTACTGCTAATGGTTCTTACATTCCTGTTGCCAACATTATCTCTGCAATCATCTACAGGCTCTTGCTTAAGTCCATTTTACTCAGCCAGAAAACAATTCCACGCCAGTGAATTTTTAGTATTGCTGTCTTTGAGCCATTTCCCTTTTAATAGAAAACTGACCTACCTAAGAAATGTTTATGATTCCATATTGCAAGGAAGAAAGTGAAAAGTGAAGGTGAAACATTTTAAAAGTGAAACGTTAGTACCAGTTAAGAATGCTTGAATGGACCTCTTCAAGGCTAATTCATATACTACATTGTTATATTCTTAAATGCCTACAGATATGAATGCAAAATGAGATGATAAAAGTATGAAGTTACAGATAATGGTAACTGGAATGTAGCAATTGGCAGCTACTTTTTTGTTGAATATTCAGCATCGAATTTTGTTTCTGCAAGTATCAGCTAGGGTAAATGCACATACAATACAGACGTTTGGCATTATATATTTATAGATATATTTACATAAATTAAAAATAAAAGATATATCTATATCAGACTTATTGAAAATATCTGTAATAAAACTCACATTTCTACAATATAACCCTCATATTTCTGCCATCATATGTGCAAACATTATATGCAAGCTGGTGCATTTTTGTTATTTATTTTGCATGCACACTGCCTCTTTCCAAAGGCTCTAGGAGGCTAATAATGTCACCATATAAAATAATAGTTCCAAAAAACCCTTAGTACATATAAAAATAAAACGATCAAGAAAAATAAAACCCCCAAAATACAAATGCCATACACCCATAACCCTGCCTTCCAATTACAACACACCCTCTTCCCATGTACGGTGGGATATGTGGGTATATCAGAGCTTTCCTAAAGCCAAAGAAGGACTAAGTTGAATAAATTTCTGCCCAAAGGGAATTCCGAAAAGCAGGGCAACATTTGATCAAGCATACTTTCTTGAGTACAGAGTGTAAAGAAATTGCTGTTGATTTCTTCACTCAATTTCCAAGTCTTTCCTGCATCCAAAGAGAGCGTCTGACACATGGAAAGCCAATCTTTTGTGGTTTACTAAAATAATTTGCCCATAAGATCTCTTGTGAGAGCTTTAGTCCTGAAATTTGGGCAAATGTGCAGTAGAATTGGTTTATTTTAGAATTACTTACGATGACTAAGACTTTCTACAACCATAGTGGTATAAATCTGAACTTCTTTTAACTTTGGATCCCAGGCCCTAATATTCATAAGCCTTTCAAGTCCAGGAAAGTGACTCATCTCAAAGGTAAACTTTGATGTGAGTACTTTCTTAAACATATAGTCAATTCTACATATGAACCCCTTAAATCTGATTCATCCCAAAATTATCAAATCAGCATGATTCTTTTGCATTAACTTGGATAAAAAGCAGCAAATACTTTGTTTACTACTATGATTTATTTAAATTTATTGGCCACCCAATTCCAGTGGACCAGTTGTACTTGGCTGTGCTTTTGTTGTACATGAGACAATTTCACAAATACAGAAAGGGGACAGAGAAGTTAACATATTGCCAGTATTAAAAAATACTGTGGATTAAGGCTACAGACTGATATAGACTTGAATTCTGCTCTCAGAATGTCTAATTCTGTTAATATCTAGCAAGCTGGAGCATGTCTCATCATTTAATCATTTAAGTGAACTTCTCTGGAGTCAGAAGGGTAAGCAGGGCTGAGCTTGGTTAGTGTTTACATGGGAGACCTCCAGGAATACCAGGGCTGTCAATTAGACCAGGATAAAACATTCCAGAAGCAAGCAATGACAAACCATTTCTGTTCCACTGCCAAGAAAACCTCATGGATATTTGAAGTACCAAGACTTGAATTCATATGGAAAGAAAATAATTGATACGCTAGAGAATGTAATCTCTGGCCTAGTGCTGCCAAATGGCACAAATGACCTGTAAACTACTTGCCGATATTCTTCTTCTTCCTTTTTCTTTTTTTTTTGTCTATTGCCAATTAGATTTGCTCTCTGGCCAAAAAATTATCATTATAAGGGAGCAGAGAAGGTTTTTTTTCTCCTTGCCCATTTATTTCAAACTATGGTAAACCTTGATGACTTTCATATATGCCAAGCCATAGAGTAGACACCAAACTAAGAAGCCCTAAATGTGTTCCTGCTGTGACGACGTTGCAATAATTTGACCATTTTGGCTGTATCTTATATATTAAAACCCAACTCGGCAAGATGGTTTTTAAAGTGGAGTAACTCAAGAAACAATTAAAAGCACTTCAGTTACCTTAATTTGTGAGATGAATTATAATAGAATAACAGAGTAGGACGGGATCTTGAAGGTCTTCTAGTCCAACCCCCCCGCTCAGGCAGGAAGTCCTATACCATTTCAGACAAATGGTTGTCCAATTTTATAGTTCACAGATTACAGTTTTATGAGTTGATGCTCACACATGATGGCTGTGAGTGGCATGGTTATTTACAAATCACTTATTTGCCACTTGCTTCCCCATCATTCCCTTCACTGCCCCAAGATAATACTTACCACCTCAATTTAAGGGCTAGGCACATTCCACATATAACACTGAGCTCCAAGCAATCACCATTTTTCACAGTCTGTCAGATATATGAATCTCGAATATCCTCTTAGAAATAAAGGTAAGGGTAAGATGACTTATATTTTGTGGTGCAGTACACTGACTTCCCATTTATTTTAAATTTTAAAAAGAATACCGAAAATTAAAGCAGTCTGGTGGTCAAGAGAATCTGATAGGCATGCTTGCCTATCCTGCCTACATAATGCAAAATTGCAGTCAGGAATCTTGGAAGCAGGAAACACTTAAAATATAGGCATTTTTCCATGGAAGGTTCTGTCAGAGTCTCATTTCTAAATTTGTATAATTTCCCTCTAAAAACTTCTAACTCCTTTTTTCCCTTTGGCCTCCAGGTCTTACCTGTTAGTATCTCTGGCCACATCTTCATAAATGCTTTGTACTCCAATTTCCAGCCTTGTACATCCATAAGACAACATGTCACTCAAATGCCGTTTTAGGCAATAATCTGGCCTGGTCTCTATAGTAATCCCAATGCACTTTGTAAGGCTTCGCTCAGAGTACCTGTAGAAAGGAGTAGTAGAGAAAGTGAAATGAAAAAGAGTTGCAAATGAGGTGGGTTAAATTTAGCCAAGTTCATGGTATGGTCTACAGGTTACATCTGTCTAAGCCGGCTTACCTCATTACAATCACTGGCTTCAGAGAATATCTTAGCAAATCATTTTATGACACTCATGACAGGTATGACAATGGTGCATTCAGTCCCTAAATCTCTGTAGTCTGCTACTGAAATATTCTGTAAAGGATATTTGCTAAAGGATAGTCTGGAGCTGATCTCACTTGTGCTTATTCACTGCACTGAAAAACTATGCTGCCTCATGTAATAGCTTTGGAGAAAAAGAACATTTGCTTGAATGTTTCTCTTTTCAGGACACTATTTGCTTCTGACATGTTTCAACATGAACTAGTATAAAGAAGTGTTAATTCTACTTCCAGTATTAGGAAAGAAAGCAATCTTTTTCCTTGTATGAAAAGAAGCAGAGTACAAGTTCAATGGGTTTCTGGTATTCACAAATGCAAGATTTTTTTCACAACTCTATGATAGACAAACCAAAATGTGAACTGTTTTGAAAATGTTCCTGAAGCTCACCAAAGACTAGTCCACTATGTTTCAAAGAACTGCGCTTTGACTTCAGTGCATGCATGTGCATATTGTCTCAGTAGTTAAATGTTTTCAGATTGCATGTTATGGAAGTGCTGATCTGAAATATCTCAATCAGAAAAAGCAATCAATAGTAGTGTGTATTTCTAAACATCTTTTATTTTTCAGTTAAAATTATCATTATTTTACACTACCTTTTGGGAGCAGTATTGCTTTATTAAACATGTCTTTTTGCTGCTGGTTGAGAATTGTGCCACAGACTACTATATGGCAAGGTATCAATAAAGGCCCTGGAAAAGATATTCAGATGCTGTGGTATGTCTGCCCTTACAAAGATCACAACTGTGCAGGCAGTGCTTTTCTCTGTGATCAAAATGTGAAAGTTTGAATTTAAACATGAAGTATAGAAGTATAGAAAGAGCAATGAATCTCTGAATTGAAGAATACAATAACAATTAAAACAAATAAATGGATCACAGAGCAATAAATCAGAGTTCTCACTTGAGATGCAAATGATCTGGTTCTATTATATATTGGACACAGTACATGAAGTCCATAATGTTGAGAAAGGTGGAAGGAAATAGAAGAGGTAATTGACAAGCAGCAAGGTCAATATGGATAGGTGGTAGTGGTAGTGATAGGTACTTAGTTAGAGGACCTAAAAAACTAAATTGGCAACAGATGGTCCTCAAGAAGATCTATCTAAGAACTGAGAATGGTATAATGGTACATGATCAAGCAGTCGATCAATTCCAGCAGATACATTCTGCACTGTATTTTATTACTTTCATTGGATTTTAATCCCTTAACCAATTTGAATCTGCCTTCAGAAGAAAGAACAGTACTGTTCATCAGCCTTTCCCAAGTTACTGAACTGGATGCTGCTTCACAGCTTCAGAAGGAGTCCATTGTTGATATCTTCTGGAAGCAAAATCTAGCTCCTGTTGGAGAAAATATAATTATACTCTCTAGCGAACCCTCAGAAAACCCTCATGCTCTGGTCTGCCAACTTCCCCATAACTGCTATGAAGCTTTTACTTTCAGCCAGATTCCACGCTGCAAGGAAAAAAGTAGTTTTCAGAAGCCTGTTTTCAATGAATGAATGGTGGAACACAAATTTTCCGCTGATGACTAATATATATAGTGCACTGTTGCAAAACACAACTTGGCAAATAAAATCAAAGGTAATATATCTTGATTCTAAAGTAATCATTCTACTTTGAAGTTGTAGAAAAACCATTTTAAAGAGGAAGAACACAATTAAATATAAAAAGAGATAGAAACTATGTTATTAACTATATTTCCTACTTACAGTCAGGGGATCATTTGCTCACTGCTAAAACACTGCATTGCAGTAGCTACAGTTATTTGTCATAGCCATACTATGCAGCAAGTTAAATCTAGAAGTTAACTTATGGAAATGTATTTCTTGAAGTGTTCAAATACTACATCTAGATTAGATTGCAATATAACTTGGCATCATATTCATTCTGTAGTAATGCAACATATATAGCAACGTATAGATTAATAACTACTATATCCTATTAAGTCCAGACAAGTAATAGCTACTTTGAAAAAAAATGACGGAGCTCATTAGAAGGTTCACAATGGAGGCAGGTCACCAGAATGGAACTTAAAAAAATATAGACAAAACAGAGTTGCATAATCTATAATTTACCCATACTACAAAGTGTATTCATAGACCAGAGGGGCAAACAAGGTAAGGCAGCCAAGAAGTCAATTCATGTTCCTACCAGGTATCAGGAGATAAAAAAGCAAGTGATGTGGTTTAGGAATCAGCCACAGTATGGGACATCATCAGGGAATCAATCAAGCCACTTAGGTTCAAGAGGTCCAAAAATGACCAATATTCCTTCCCACACTGTATAGGGAATTTGATGCTGAAAGTTGCCAATTCACCCATACCTTTATCAAGCTACCTAGTGCTCAATGAACCTATTCTAAATAAGTTGCAGTTAAGGTGTATCCAATCAATACTGATTATCTCTACACTAAAACAGGTAAATGAATAACAATAACTTACAAAAAGGACAGTCAGTGATATTAGAGGGAGAAGGAATATTCTTGGCCCTTTCTGGAATTGTTTTGCTGATGTTTTAAATATGGTTTGTCGTTTCTATTTTATTTATTATAGTTATAAGACTGTCCATCTCACAAGAAGCCACTCTGAGTGGCATACAGCAAAACAAGTCGTAAAACAATAAATGTACCAAACCTAGTCATATTAAACAAGTTAGAAAAAGAAGTGCACACAAGAGATCTTACAGGTTCCCTGAAACCTCCAAGCATGATGACAAAGCCTGGTCTTGAGGGACTTCTGAAAAATAAGGGTGTATGGAGCTGACCTCATTTCAAGGTGGAGAATGTTCCATAAGCAGAGAAGGTCCACCTCCTCAAGCCTGCCAAGTATAGTTCTCTGAGACACAGGACATGCAGCATGGCTATCTTGCCAGATCTGATGGGGCAAATGTAATGTAAAAGGGAAGAGATGGTCCCTCAAATAACCCAGTCCCATGCAACGAAGTGCTTTAAAGATAGAAACCAGCAACCTGAATGGCCTTGAATGGCTTAGAAGGAGACAGGCAACCAATGCATCTCACAGAACGGAGAAGTATCATGTGCTGTTTTAGAAGCACACATACCTTCCTGTGCTGCTGCATTTTGCACCAGTGGAAACTTCCAGATATTCTTCTATGGCAGCCCCACATACAATGCCATCCTGGTGAGTTCAGCAATGTATTATTGAGGCTCGATCCATGATGGAGAGTTTTGAGCTTGTAGGAGATAATTCAGGCATTGTGCTGTGGCCCATACATATGTATATATATAATTTACAGGGCATCTGATTCACTACAAGTCTGGGAGGTCTTCTGCAACAAAGGACTTTATAGGTAAAACCAATATCTTAAATGGCATCTGGAAGCCAAACAGTAACTAGAGCAGCTTGCAGAACAATGGTGTCACATGGCCATAACAAGAAATGTCCATCACTGTACCATTGTATTCTGGAGAACCTGCAGATTCTGAGCAGTCTTCAAAAGCAGTCTCACAGAAAGCCTATTATAGCAATCAATTTGTGAGCTGACTAAGATGAATAACTAAAGTGCTTCTTGGTTCCAGGAACAAATGTAACTGGTGCAAAGGCACTCCTGACCACAGCTGCTACCTGCTCTTTGAGTGCAATGAACCCATACTGTAGGTGTAATGAGGTGTCATGAATCTATAAGTATTATCCAAATAGCACATCAGTCTTGAATAAGAAACTGCAATCCCATCCAAGACCAAAGACTGGAGATCCCAGAGCCAGGCCTCCAAAATATCCACAGCCACTCAATCTTGTTAGGATTGAACCCGAGTCTATTCCTTCCCTTCAGACCTTGCACAGTCTTCAGATACTAGACTAGGACCTTGACAGCATCATTTTGTTGATCTGGGATTGAGATGTATAATTGGATATCATTAGATATCTTTCTCATATTTTCTATAGTATAGCCTGAATTCTTTCATAAGAATAGCCAACTCTGAACTGTAAGCAATTCTTCAAGGATTCCCCCCCCACACACACACTAATAGGATTTTTGAATAAACTATAGCACATTAGAAATCTTATTGTAGTGACTGGGCTATCATTTGGCTGCTCTCAGCAAACAGCTCTGCAGCTACCATCTGCTAGCAGAATAATTCTTGCTACTGAATTACTTACTGACAAATAATCCCTTCCCTTCCGGGGCACATTTTATTGCTTTTATTAATTATAGGAATGCTTTTGTGAATTCAGATTCATTACAATGTTTTATTGTAACTTAATATTCTTATACACTGAAGCTATCTTTAGGGTTATTTTAAGAAGCAGTTTAGAAATACTTTACAAATAAATAAAATTCACTCCCCATAACTCCCTACATAAACATGTAGTTTAAAGGGATAGAACCATAGTCAGCATTTCAGCCAAAGCTGGATGAAACAGAACTTGTTTTATTCTGGTCTAAGCAAGCCAGACATTAAATGGCCTGAATTTTTTATTTTCAGATAGAAGAGAATCAGGAAAAAAGCCACAAAAGCTTATTTGGCAAATAGGAAGAAAATTTCAAACTCAAACCTACATGGATGCATGCAAGCTTTACAAAATAAAATTATTAATCACAAGTTGGATTTTTTTCCCTAAAAATGTTAAAGATATTGTCTTCATGTTTTTGTCTCATAGCAAATGTGATTATTTGAGAGATATGAAATAAATGAAATGGAATTATTAAAAGAGCAAGATTCTACATTAAGAAAAAGGATTTTATGCTAAGGAAGGGCTATTATTTTCTGAGAGTATATTTCCTCCCTCTATTATTATTCTACTTGCTTTAGCTTTTATAGATTCTAGTTTATACAG